AAAAAACACTTTTCTTACGGATCTTTCGAAATAGATATACTTACCTTCGCGACTAGATTCCGGTTATCTGGTTCATAATTAACTGGTAGACGGATTCTACATTGTAGGGTATTGTCAAAATGTCGTAAAAGGCGATCGGTAAAGCATTTGACGGCTGAGTAGGAGGTACCATCATAGTTGCCAACATCGTCTTCCTGTAATCACAAATTTTCTAAAAATTTCTTACAAGTTAGAACTTTCGATAGAGACTTTTCAGAGGTGTGTTAATGCATGATTTCCTATCTCATCTGAAGGTTTTCGCTAATAATGTTGTCTATAAGAACGTACGACTCAATCAAATCTAATTTGATGTTTTTCTTAATCAGATGCAAAATTAGAAAAAACATTACTAGTGGAATCATTTTATTATAGGAAGTAGCGTTATGTAATCCGATTCTAGATTTCATTTCGCAAATTGGGGTCTTAAGGAAGTTTTTGGAACTTCCCATAAAATGTAGAATAAAGGTGACAAATTATCCGACAACCTAGTAAGAAGTCGGGGTTACTGCATTTTTGCGTTCATTCGTATTTGGGTAGATATATTCTTACCTTATAACCTGGCCCATCAATTGGATGCTCGGCGTCGTATTTGAATAGACAACCAGTTCCTAGATAAGTAAAGTGAATATTCATCTTTTCGCAAAGACTGGCCAAGATCCATGGTGCATAGAGATTATCGCGCATGTTCAGCTTCAGTTTATCTGGTCCACCTTCGAGGTACGCAATCGAGTTCACACCTAAATTTGAGCTTACCTATCTACACATTTGAGCTTGAAAGTCAATATTCACCTTCCCCATGTGTCCTCCCAATCATCGACATCACATGGCTAGGTGCAACCTGGACCATCTCCTCCCTAATGACTTCATCAGCATCAGTTCCTGGACGAGTTTTGGCTTCAACGTAAGCCACGCCTTCTTTCTGCAGTAGCTCCACGAATTGCCGTCCAATCCAGCCTCTGGAGCCGTAAAGGAGAATTTTAGCGGCCGAACCAGCTGGCTGAAGTGTCATTGGAGCGGAAAGGCTTGCGAGAGCTGAAAGTAAGATAGTACTAAGAGTCTTGATTTTAGATGCTGGATCTGTGCAAAACTTTCTTCCTACCTTTGAGCTCATTCCCGTGGGCCTCATAGCCCAGATCTTTTTTGGCCTTCTCCGAGGATAAGGAAGACGGACAAGGCGATGGTGTAACATTTTTTCCATCCAGTACCTGCAGAATTTTTCTCGAAACAATGATTTTGAATGGCGGATTGACCATTCAACATGATCCGAAAGAATTGTCCTGCTGTTGTGTAAAAAAATAGTCAGATTTATACCCATAGAAAGCTCATACTATCAACTCTAAATCCCGAAACTGAAGGATCCAAATTTTTCTACTCATTTGTTTTGTTTTAAAATCAACTTTAGCTTTCACTTCGCTTCTTTATAAAAGGAATTTGTGCAATATAGTTCACCTCTTGGAAAATTGCTCCCTTGCCGTCTTACAGAATTTTCTTGAAAACTTTCGTAGTGCTCTGACCAAGGTGATAGAAAATTGTTCCTACCTGTCTCATTTCATCAATGGAGTAATCATTGTCACCACCAATGTTCCAAACTTCTGCAGTTTTGGCAAGCTCGGCTGCCAATAATATGCCTTGCACTGCATCTTCCATAGTCAGCAAATTCACTGAAAAGGCTAGTTGACAGGGATTGCAAGAGCAGGTTCTCATTTCAGTGCTTTAATTATTCACATTGTTGCACATGAGAAAGGGTGTGAGCCGTTCCTAAACGGATTTGGGCGACAAAACCGAATACGAGTAAAACGCAAAACGTTCACCTTGCGTGCTGACATCGATATTTGTAAATTCGTAAATTTTTCGTGCCAAGATAATGTCAAGCAGAATTGAAATAAGCTGATCCGACTGATTATC